TGTCATGAGTGGCAAATATCAACACCGAAACCAATTCAGTACCAACTGTAGTTCGACCCCAGCAATCGAACGGACCTGACGTGCAGCAACGAGCGTAGGCAACGAGCAGCGAGGTGTGCTTTGGTGAGGGCGATTGACCTGACGCAACGGAGCTTATTAGCTCCGGTGAGTAAGACACCCAGTTTGCCCAGGCTATTGTCTCTCAACAAAGCGAAAAGCGGATGCGAGGTTATTTTTAAGTTAAACTGCCGAGGGGTTGCCTTTATAGGCCCCTCGGGGAGGCTTTTAATAGCTTTGTGTCAGCGAAAAAATACGGGATAACCTCAGTGGGTCCACAGGTATGACACTGTAAGGTCTAGTTTTAAAATCTAGGTCGGACAGAAACGGCCCCTGCCTCTGAGGTGTGAGAAACGTGAAGAGGATCGCTCCCTGAGAAATCAGGGAGAGAACTACCAAGAGGTTGCTCGGAAGACACCCAGGAAAACCGTCTGGCAGCGGCTAGGCGGAAAGACAAAAACAAAGTCTTCTGAGTAGCAAACTCCATTTAAGTCTCTTGAACACTTATTTTCACTGCCTTACGGCACTATGAATGATTCCTTCCCCCAAAAAAGTAATGTCACGCAGGTGACACCACAAGAAAAAGAAGACGGTAACAATTACGAGTCACCCACCCCGTCCTTTGAATCTGCAATAAAACTATACAATGAATTCACTGCTAATCTAAAACCCGAAGCCGCGTTAATCGCAGATAATTTTGATGACGAATCGTTCATCCCGGACGATGATGAAGATAAAAGCGAGGTAGATACAGACGACAGCGTATCTACCACAATAGAAATTTCCGTCGACGATGAGCTGAGCTTGGACACCAAATCGATCGAAGTTGCGCCCCCAAACGGCGCAATAGCCCCCATAGTGGACGTCATCTCTACCGTTACTAACGCCGAGCCGGAGGTAGGCAGAAATAAAAAACGGCAAAGGCCTACTGCAGACTCCTCAGAAGATGAGGAAGAAATTAAACGCAGCAAAGAAAAGCACGATAATGAGCTTTATAAGTCGGTAGACTTACTAACCGAGCAAATCAAACAGCTCAAAGAAGAGAGCCGTCAGCGAGAACAAGAGGCAAACGCCTCTTGTTCCGTTCTCTTTCATACTCAATCCTTGGAAAGAACTGTTAAGTTAGTAACTGAAGCATCAGATGCTGTTTGTGAACCATAATCAAGGTATGGTTTGCTTTATTCGTTTAAGGTTGCAGTAGTCTAGAAATATGATGCGGTTTTTAAACACAAAAAAGTTATTTAGATTCCAAGAACTGATAAAAAAATAAATTTTTAAAATTTTTTTTTATTCGCAAAAATTTTAATCTAATATGGAATCTACAGATAAAGTCCAATACAAAAAATATTTTTTACAGTTTTGTTCTACATCAAAACGAAACTTTTTCGCACTAGCCCCATAAAAAATAATGTCTTTGAATTTTTCGTTCTACCCTAGTGGGGATCATAGGAGTTGAAAATGTCAAAGGTGGTTTGAACTTTGTCCGGTGGTAAGGCTAAACACAGGTCGTGTACATACCTCTTGACAAAAGGGATATGTAATGTTGTAATTGAACTATCACAGATTTTTCTTTACCTTTTTTCAGTGGTTAATTTCAATGGTTAGGATGTTTATTATTGTTGGATAAATATTATTATTGGAGTTCGGCCCTGAATAAGATACCGAAAGGCGTGTTACATGAAATACCAGTAAGTGAACACATCATATTAGTTTTCATTAATATAACGTGATCAACCAGTTTTTGTTGATTTGTAATTTAACAATTATCGATAAGATACGACTCAAGAAATATTATTCCAGTTTTATTACCTGTTTGATTACTAGTCAGGTCCGTATTATTTTTAAACACATGTCCCGTGTTAAAATCATAAATGGAACCTAATATTCAGAGTCTCTCTAACACACCATATGTGTTGCAATCACAGACAAATACCAATAAAACCTATTCATCAGCAGCTTCTACACAATTTCCCCCAAAACATCAAGCAATTGTCTTCAGCGCAAAAATATTATATTTTCCTCCCGACTATCCAATAATCGGATTTGCATGTACCTTGCAAACAAACAAGTCGTGGATGAATTCATGCAAAATCATGGACAAAAATAGAAATCCAGAACAATATTGTACAAGCTAGAAGATTAATCTCACCAGCGGAACGTATTCTTTTTTCAAACGTATGTTCAACAATACCACACAGTCTGTTAGTTGATTATCTACAAAGTATTGGACTTAATATGGTCTCTCCTGTCACTTTTCTAAAAATCAGTTCCACTCTTTCCGAATATAATAATATTTTAAGATTCAGAAGACAAATATACGTCAGTCCCCATAATATCTCCTTACCTGACTCATTCATCTTAGACTTCGATAATACAACATATCGAATATTCTTATCTCAAGAAACTATGACCTGTTATAACTGCAAAAAGTTTGGACATATCTCCACCAACTGTCCTGATAAACTAGAATCAACAACAAACTTAATTGATTCTAATAACAGTCAATCTACTACTTCTTCCTCCCCTGACATCATGCCTCAACCTGCAGCAACATCCATATCAAACGAACAAATTTCCGTCCAAGAAAAATTAGCAAACAATCTGAGCAATCCTAACATTGCTAATGGTCAAGAAGAAGTCAACACCACGGAAAGCTGCAAAGTAATTAATATCGATCTCCAGCCGAAACCTAGTATCAAAGATGTTCTTACGTCTCCAGAAACAACTTCTCAAACAACAGAAAAATCATTTGCTGTACCTACATCCAAACCTAGAGTCAAGAAAAGTAAAAACAATGAGGAGCATACATGCATAAAATCAACAAAATCATAGGACCTTGAGCCTGCCAAAGATTTTATCCAAAATCATCTACCCACATTTGTCCTCAATTTTGACCAATTAAATCTACTTCTAAGCAATGTTAACGGCGTGCAGTATCCTTCTAACATAATTCAAGAGTTTACTTCTGACCTTGTGGGATTAGTTCATATGCTAACTGAAGTTCATCCACAATTAAAAGATAGATCAACCAAACGTCATATCACCTTCTTAAGAAAGAAAATCCTCCAACACTTGGGTAACGACACCTCTGAATCCGAGGGCGAGTCATCTCAGGTTAACCCGTAAATTCATATTTTTTCTTATATAATATAATTCACTAACCTACTGCAATGGAATATAGATGGATTTTTCCATCGACTTCCAACCTTACAAAAACTTATTGCTGAATTCCCTAGCGAAATAATATATCTCCAAGAAACAAATTTAAACCCCCAAAAAAACTATAATTCCAAATATTTTAGCATTTTTAGAAAAGATAGAGTACATGACAATAATTTTTCTTCAGGTGGTGTTATGACACTTGTCAAAAAATCTTTGGTTGCAAATGTTTTTTCTGTCAATAGTAACATTGAAGCTCTTGCTCTGTGGGAAGCCTTCATTATATCACCGCCGAATTTCCTTAACACTATCACACGCAAACAAACCTCTATTTAAACATGCGTTCACTAATAAATATATAAATCTCTTTACCAATAGTACCAAACATAAGCCTTACTATGAGCGAGTACGGTGTTACCTGAGATGTCTCAATATCGAATTCTCAATAACCTTTCCAATCAATATCAAAAGCCCCTCTCTTTGGATAATTAATGCCCCAAATATGAACACTGGTTTAACCCAATACGACAAATATATTAACTGCCACGCAGAGATTAAGAATAATCTAGATCTAATTCTCCGTCAGCATTACGAACATTGCTATAAAATATTTACAGATGCATCTAAGTGTGATAAAGGAGTAGGTGTTGCTTTCGTTACTCCAAACGATACATATCAATTTCGTCTCCCAAACTTCTTTTCGATTTTCTCCGCTGAACTCTATGCAGTGTTTAAAGCTATCATACATATAAATTCTAATAACATTCCTAACTCTGTTATCTTAAGTGACTCACTAAGCGCCCTTCAAACCCTTAAATAGATCTATCCTTGAGAAACTGATAAAACTAGAACTTATGCAAGCTCAAGAAAATTCTAGGAGTATCAGATTTATATGGATTCCATCCCACATTGGCATTGATGGCAACGAAAGTGCGGACCAGTGCGCGAATGAAATTGCTAAATGTGCCAATATAGAAAAAGCCGAGTATCGAAATACCGCGAGTGATATAAAAGCCTTTATAAATAATCGAGTTTTGTGCAAGTGAAAAAACGAATGGCAATCTTCTTAAACATCACTGAAGCAAGTTAAAAATGACGTTGCAGCTTGGGAACCCTCAACCAGGAACAGAAGAGAACAATTGGTGATAATGAGATTACGAATTGGACACACGAGACTTACTCACTCATACTTATTTACCAAAAGTGATCCACCTATTTGCGAAACATGTATTGTACAATTAACCGTTAACCATTTATTAATTGAATGCCATACATTTGCCAATTTTCGTGTTACATTTAACAAACCTAAGAGTTTAAGTAATTTATTAGGCACTAATTTCTCAGCTAGTAATATTGTAAAGTTCTTAAAATCTATAGGACTATTTTATAAACTCTAATTTTGTAATTCTGTATCTGTAGCCGCCGCTAATAACCATTATGGTGGCTAAATAAAAAAAAATTAATAATTGATTATATCCATTCTATACACTTTACTAGTATTTATTCAGAATAATCAGCGACTCTTCAGTCATTTATAAACTATATCATTTATATGAAAACCATTTCGGCATAAACCGATTAGGTAAAGATATTCAAATTGGATGGATAATATATTTAACATGTTATGGCTGCATTACGTAAAACAAAATATTTGAGCTTCATTAATTAGCATATGAGTAACATTGTACAAATTATTAATTACCTTAATTATAATCAGGCTTATTAATTTAAACAAGGTTGATACACATTTCGATGTTATGGCCAGTTTGGATGTTAGTGTAAATATCCATCAGTACGTGTAAGGTTCGAAACAGAGAAACTGTTTCAAATTAAATGCAATGGTTTTTGTGACGGCCAATTTCAAAAAGTGGAGTGTTGTTTGTGCTTTGCTCTATATTTTAAATTTTGCTGATGGATTAACTGTAGGCAAGTATATAAATTTTGTTGAATTTGACTCTATTTTTAGAAGCAGAAACGAACGGCGCTTTGTATATTTGAGTAACTTTTTTGATAACATGTTATTTATTTACACTAAAATAAATAAAATAAAAGCCTGCTTTTTCGACCTATTATTTTAAACAGTACACTATCAAAATAAAATCACATTATTGATCAAATAAAACATTATTTTAACTACTATATTTACCAAAATATACAATAAACAACAATTTTAATTAAAAATACTTTATATTTGACGTTTTAGATCCCACCAGGACAATCGCTTTCAAAATAAAAAATACAGGGTGCGACATTAGTGAGAGAGTAAATCATTTGCCGCAAAAGATTCCAAAAAAAAATAGATAAAAGTTGCAGCATAGATAGGACCATACACTAAAAATATTTTCAAATATTCAGAGCCACCGATATTATCAGAGTGAAACCCACTTATCTTCGTTTAATCGAGTACCCTCTATAGTTTAACATTTTTTGACTCTTCCTGATGTCAAAATATTTAGCAGCCCATAAAACTGTAGAGATTTGACATAAAAAGGTATATCTATGGTTTAAAGCTTTTTACTATTGTCTTCTTCTTCAGTTTCCTTCTACTATCAAGTCAAGTAAAGTCAAGTCAAATTTATTGATCACATGCGACATTATACAAAGTACATGTATGAGACAAGTCAAAAATACAGACATAAATCTTAAAATTATGTAAACTACTTAAACGCGATAAAACATACTTAAAAATTATTTTTAGAATGTGGCTCTAGCTCACAAATGTATTGATGTACACACCTCCGAAAGTTTGGCTGATGTAAATTCATTCTTATATCTATTGGTAATTTGTTAAAGAAACTTATGGCTGCATAATCTGTGCTACTTTCCAACAAAACAGACCGATGTTGTGGAAGCATAAAGTGATTGTCTCTGAATCTTGTTGAATAAACATGGTTAAATTGAAATTTATTAAATTCATAAATTTTGCTATGCAAATACATTATACACGAAAATATATACAGACCAGGAATTGTCAGAATATTGTTTTGTCTAAAGATGCCTCTACAAGAATCTCTAAATTTCATTTTATACATTATCCTAATAGCTCTTTTCTGAAGTACAAATTCTTCTTCTTAAAGTGCCCTCTCCTCAATGGAGGTTGGCTACTACAATTTTAAACTCTTCTCTATCTTCAGCTGTTCTTATTAGCTGTTCAAAATTTAGCCCTGTCCATTGTCGGATGTTTCTGAGCCATGATAGTCTTTTCCTTCCTAGGCCTCTCTTTCCCTCGATTTTTCCTTTCACTATAAGTTGGGCATATTGGTACTTATTATTTCTCAGTATGTGGCCTAGGTATGATGTTTTTCTTACTTTTACTGTGTTAAAAAGTTCTCTTTCCTTGCCTATTCTATGCAGCACTTCTTCGTTTGAGGTATGCGATGTCCATGAAATTTTGAGTATTCTCCGGTAGATCCACATTTCAAAGGCCTCCAATTTATTTACGGTTGATGTTTTAAGGGTCCACGTTTCAAATGCATATAGAAGAGTCGACCAGACGTAGCATTTTGATAAACGTAGTCGAATTTCGAGTTTTATTCGAGAATCACAAAGCAGTTTTTTTATTTTTTCGAAAGATTTTCTAGCCTGTTCTATTCTCGATCTTATTTCTTGATCAGGATTTAGGCTGCTATCGATCCAACATCCCAGGTACTTAAATCTATTGACCTGTTCTAAGATGTGCCCATTTATTGTGCAAGGTTGAGGTACGTTTTGGTTTTTTCGGATTGACATCACTTTGGTTTTTTTAATGTTTATTTTCATACCAAATTGCTCACAGGTCGAGTTGGTCTTGTCGATGAGTCGTTGTAGACCTGAGTCGGAATCCACAATTAACACTGTATCATCGGCGTATCTGATACTGTTGATATTTACGCCATTCACCTTGACTCCATCCTTGGAATCCTCCAATGCTTCTTTAAATAGAAACTCGGAGTAAAGATTAAACAGCAGAGGCGACAGAACACATCCCTGTCTAACTCCCCTTATAATTTCTACTTCTGCGGATGTGGAACCTTGGATCCTAACTCTGGCTTTTTGGTTCCAGTACAAGTTTTTTAAGAATTTGATGTCTTTTCCATCTAAACCGACTTCTTGCAAACGTTCTAATAGTAGGTCGTGTCTTACTCTATCAAATGCTTTTTCGAAGTCTATAAAGCATATAAATATATCTTTCTGTTGGTCGTAGCATTTTTGGGCGAGAACTAGTAAACTGAACAGGGCTTCTCTCGTTCCCATGCCGGCTCTGAATCCAAACTGATCGTCTCCGATGATTGTTTTGCACTTTCTATAGATACGATTATGTACGATTTTTAGTAGGACTTTTACAGCATGACTCATAAGGCTTATCAGACGGAACTCATTGCAGTGTTGTGGGTTTGGCTTTTTTGGTAGTGGGATGAATATTGACTCCAGCCAATCTTGGGGTATTTTACCTGTATCATAAATGCGATTGAATAAAAGGACAAATAATTCGATATTTTCTTCGCTGATTAATTTGAGCGTTTCTGGGTATATTCCGTCTGGACCTGGGCTTTTATTTGTTTTGAGATGATTAATAATTAGATGATTAAGTACAAATATCTGCTCTAATTCAGAGGTACAACCCCAGACTTCAATGCCATATTTGGCTATTGAGTAAAAATGGGCGAAGTATACTGTTTTTAATATTGATGTATGAAAGAAACGTGAAAGAATTCTTAATGCATAACATGCGCTACTTAATCTGGATTTCAAATTAGAAACGTGGTTTAACCATTTACAATTACTGTCTAGAAGTACCACCAGCAACTTCGTGCAGTCTGTTTTATTTATTGCTGCTTCTATAGTGGATTGATGGTTTAATAAATTATTTGACGTGAAAATCATATACTTTGATTTCTCTTCATTCAAAACTAATTTGTTGGATAAGAAATAACTTTTGATGGTGGATAGTATCTGTGAAGTTTTATTTTGCAAATTTTGATCAGACGTTCCTGTGACTAGAATGTTGGTATCATCCGCATAACTGATAATGTCAACACCAGTCAGTGAATTAGTTACCAAAGTTATATCATTAATAAATACTATAAAAAGAAGAGAACCCAATACACTACCCTGAGCGATACCATAACGGATATCCAATGTGTTTGATTCGTTTACAAGTCCATTAGATGTTATCTTTACTTTTTGTCCTCTATTCTCTAGGTAGGAAGTAAACCATTTTAGAACTATACCACGAATACCAATCCCCTCAAGAATTATTAGCAACAAATTATGATCCAAAGTGTCAAAAGCCTTAGACAAATCGAGAAATAAACCACATGCCTTCTCTCGTCTGTCCAAAGCATCCAACACTAAGCTGACGAAATTTGCACGAGCTGTAGTTGTAGACTTAGAAGATGTAAAACCATGTTGAAAATTATGCAAGACACTACGCTTTTTCAGAAATCCGTTCATTCTAGTATAAACTAGAGTTTCAATTTTCTTTGAAAACACAGATAAGAGACTTATGGGACGATAGTTGTTAAGGTCATCATTATCACCACTTTTGAATAAAGGGATTACAATAGATAGTCTAAACATACTAGAAAATATTCCTTGTTGAAAAGAGACATTACACATATCCGTCAGTGGATCTGCGAGAGCATGAATGCATTGTTTTAATAACTTAGGGGAAATCTGATCAAAACCACAACTGTGTTTGGATTTAAAACTTCCGACTATACTAGTTATTTCCTGTGGGTTAGTTGGATATAAAAACATAGAAGAACTATTACGGTTTTTTGATGCTGATGTAAACCCATCTATTTTAGTAGGATCCAAACCGGCAAGTAACTTTGGAGCCATTTCAACAAAATGGTGGTTAAATTTTTCAGCTAAATTACTGTTATCATCACTAGGTACTTTTGAGTTATTTTGTTTTCCGACTGTTAAGTTTACTAAACGCCAAATACATTTAATTTTATTTGATGATTCGTTTAACTGTCTCATGAAGTGACTACTTTTAGCAGCTTTTAATTTAATTGAATATTCTGCCTTTGCCAAATTAAGGACTGGCCTAAGACTACTATTTTGCTGACAGATCGTTTCTAAAAGTTTTAGCTGATCCCTTAAATTGTACAGTTCCTGCGTAAACCAATTCGAACGTGTACTTTTTTTAGGTTTACATTTAAGTATTGGAAAATGGGACCGAAAATAATTTTGGATAGTATTTAAAAAAGCTAATGATTTATCCTTAGCAGAAATTGTATTAAATACCTCTGACCAATTTGTTGACTTAAGGGTTTGAACAAAACGATTTATGTTCCTTTCACTATATGAACGGATGACTATATAGGCATCATTGTCTGTGTTAATGCTACATTGGAATATTTGTGCACGATGATCAGAGATAAAACCTTCCACAACCATTGTTTTTTGTGGATGATTTATGTTTGTAGCAATATAGTCAATTTGAGTTTTACTAGTTGCAGTTACTCTTGTATAATCATTCACAGTTACAGTTAAGCCATAAGAATCTAAAACATTCACCAAGTTCTGCTTACTTAATGCATTTAATTTGAAATCTATATTAAAATCACCTGTTAATATTATAGCCTTACCTTCGGAGACTAGCACATTAAGTATTAGATCCAGTTTTGACATAAAAACATCAATAGAGCCACGTCCAGTCAGATAAATACACAACACAACACAATTAAAAAGGCAATAGTCTATTTCAACAGCACTCACTTCAAAATTATATTTCTCAGATTGACAACATATATTAGAACGTTCCTTCCAAACCACACCGTCTTTCACATATATTGAAGATCCTCCATATTCCCCTTGGTCACGGCAGAAAGATGAAGCCAGAGAAAATCCATTTATATGGTGTAGTTCTAGTTGTTCTTTAGATTTCCAGTGCTCAGTTAAACAGACACATATATTATGTAGACCTTCGCATTGCA